TATTTAACACACATGAATTAGGGTCAAAGTGTTCAACCACCCACTCACACAAATCTCTCCTCAATATTTTTGCATTTGAGGCTTAACAAACCTCCGAAACCAATTTCTTCAACCCCATTGTTTTTGTTCATCGCTAAACTTCTCTATTGCTTTCACCATCTGTCCAGGTGAACATCTGGTTCTCAACTGTACTATCAAACATTTGTCATTATACAACACACAAAATAAACACATCTTACACAAAAAATTTAGTATTTTGATTTACCTTTTCTTGTGGTGTACATTCTTTTTTGCACAACTCCTTTTGTTTTTTTGATGCCTTTGCCATCTCTATATATTTTTCTTTCTCACAATGTTTCATATTCTTCCATTGTAGTCCAAGTTGTTTCATAAACTGAATGAATGAGTGGAATAGTTATACATAGACATATACAACATATCCTTACACAGTGGAGAATTACATCGTATCCCTTACCCCATGGCCGAGTTTTTTATTTTCCTTTCCTTTCATTGTCTTCAAAAAATCTTTGCTACAATGGAGAAATAACATCATCAATGGCATACAAATAAGATCAATAAAACTGATTTAGCATTTACATTATACAAATCTCTCACTAATAAAAAAACTACGAGCTTGTTGACCGATTAGATTCACTTGAGCTCTTCTTCCCCCTGAATATAAAATCCACCATTAACCATAAAAAGAGTTTAATTTTTTGTGCTAAACAATAGAACTCATACAGACTAGAATTAAATAGAACTTACATTATAAATATTTTGAGCTGAGATTACAAATAATAAAGAAGAGTAGAAGGTTATGACCACTTTAGAAGACTTGAATGAGGAACCAAAGAAGAGAAGAAATACGATGAAGGAGAAGAAAAGAAAGACGATGAACCGAAGCAGAAGAGAACAAAGACGAAAAAAGTGAATCTACTAAGCTTCTCGAAGAAGCAACAAAAATGAATTTAGGCGGGAATTGGGTTAGTATTGTGTCAAAATTTCATTCATCCATCTGTCGGTATGTTATTCGCCTAATGCCTAATTTATTTTTAAATAAAATTGATTTGATAAATTGAATATTTTTTAAATAGTTTTATATATATGTTAATTTGATTAATTTATCATTAATAGGACGAATTTGATTAATTGTCCATTATTTCATATGTTAATTTGTTGAATTAATGATAGATGGAAGTTATTTTGATAAATTAATTTTTTTTTATTTTTAAATTTTAAATTTTTATTAATTAAATATAAATCGGATGAAATAAATTTTTTTTTTTTTTTAATTTATAATTTTTAAAAAATTTATAAATTGTTTTTTAATTTTTATAAATTAAAATTACTTTTATTTTTATTTTTATAAAAATCAGATAAAAATAATTTTTATTTTTATAAATCTTGATCCCTTCGATGGTACTTAATCTCTACTTTGATCGCTGTTGGATCCATGATCGCAACTTGATTCTTGATTGCTACCATGATCGCTCTTGATCGCAAACATGATCGCAACTTTATATGCTGATCGCAAACACATGATCGCTCTTGATGGCAAACATGATCGCTATTTATTCTCTTGATCCCTAGTATGATCGGTCATGATTCCAATCGCTAAATACCTCCGGTAGTAATATTAGCCAAAAAAATGGTAATATTAACCAAAAAAAAATGTTAATCTTAACCAAACAGTTGTAATCTGAAACAAAGAGTGGTAATGTTAATCAAAAGTTTTATAATGTTAATCAAAAAAATTGTACTTAATCAAAAAAATGTGATGTTAACCAAAAAAAAGTGCTTCATGGTTAATGTTATCGGTGTACACCAAAAAAATGGTAATCTAAACGGAAAAAATTGTACTTTTAACCAACAAAATGGTTCTACTTATAATCTTAACCAAAATAAAGGTCTTTTGACCAAAAAAATTATAATCTTAACAAAAAAAGTGGTATTTTGACCAAAAAAATTGTAATGTTAACCCAAAAATGGTACTCTTGACCAAAAAAATTGCACTGTTAACCCAAAAAATGGTATTCTTGACCAAAAAAATTATACTGTTAATCTAAAAAATGGTACTCTTGACCAAAAAAATTGTAATGTTAACGCAAAAAGTCGTACTCTTTACCAAAAAAATTATAATGTTAACAAAAAAAGTGGTACTCTTGACCAAAAAAATTGAACTGTTAATCCAAAAAGTGGTACTCTTGACCAAAATAATTGTACTGTTAACCCAAAAAAGTAATACTCTTGACCAAAAAAATTGTAATATTAACCAAAAAAGTGGTACTTTTCACCAAAAAAATTATATTGTTAACCCAAAAAGTGGTACTCTTGACCAAACAAATTGTATTGTTAACCCAAAAAAATGTACTCCTGACCAAAAAAATTATACTGTTTACCCAAAAAGTACTACTCTTATCATAAATAGTGGTAATATGAACCAAAAAAGTGGTAATATTATCAAAATCATGGTACTCTTAACCAAAAAAGTGGTACTCTAAATTAAAATAGTGGTAATGTTAACCATAAAAATAGTACTCTTGACCAAAATAATGGTAATGTTAAGTAAAAAAGTGGTACCCTAAATTAAAACAGTGGTAATGTTAACAAAAAAAGTTGTACTCTTAACAAAAAAAATTGTAATGTTAACCCAAAAAATGGTACTCTTCACCAAAAAACTTGTACTGTTAACCCAAAAAATTATACTATTAACCCAAAAAGTGCTACTCTTATCATATATAGTGTTAATGTGAACCAAAAAAGTGGTAATATTATTAAAATTATTGGTACTCTAAATTAAAAAAGTGATAATATTAACCATAAAAATGGTGGTCATAACCAAAATAATAGTAATGATAACTAAAAAAGTGGTACTCTAAATTAAAACAGTGGTAATGTTAACAAATAAAGTGGTACTCTTCACCAAAAATATTGTAATGTTAACCCAAAAAAGTGGTACTCTTCACTAAAAAAATTGTACAAAAAAAGTGGTACTTTTCACCAAAAATATTGTAATGTTAACTCAAAAAGTGGTACTTTTCACCAAAGAAATTGTATTGTTAACCCAAAAAATTGTACTCTTATCATAAATAGTGGTAATGTAAACCAAAAAAGTGATAATATTATCAAAATCATGATACTCTTAACCAAAAAAGTGGTAATCTAAATTAAAATAGTGGTAATGTTAACAATAAAAATGGTACTCTAAATTAAAACAGTTGTATGTTAACCTAAAAAATGGTACTCTTGACCAAAAAAATTGTAATGTTAACCCAAAAAGTGGTACTCTTTATACTGTTAACCCAAAAAATGGTACTCTTGACCAAAAAAATTATATTATTAACCCAAAAAGTGGTATTTTTGACCAAAAAAATTATACTGTTAACCCAAAAAGTTCTACTCTTATCATAAATAGTGGTAATATGAACCAAAAAAGTGGTAATATTATTAAAATCAGTGGTACTTTAAATTAAAAAAATTGTAATGTTAACCATAAAAATGATACTCTTAACCAAAATAATAGTAATGATAACCAAAAAAGTGGTACTCTAAATTAAAACAGTGGTAATGTTAACCAAAAAAGTTATACTCTAGACAAAAAATATTGTAATGTTAACCCAAAAAGTGGTACTCTTCACCCAAAAAAATTGTACTTTTAACCCAAAAAATGATACTCTTTTCATAAATAGTGATAATGTGAACCAAAAAAGTGGTAATATTATCAAAATCATTATACTCTTAACCAAAAAAGTGGTACTCTAAATTAAAACAGTGGTAATGTTAACTAGAAAAGTGGTACTCTTGATCAAAAAAATTGTAATGTTAACCAAAAAAGTGGTACTCTTGACCAAAAAAATTGTATTGTTAACCCAAAAAGTAGTACTCTTGACCAAAAAAATTGTACTGTTAACCCAAAAAATTGTACTCTTATCATAAATAGTGGTAATGTGAAGCAAAAAAGTAATAACATTATCAAAATCAGTGGTACTCTAAATTAAAACAGTGATAATGTTAACCATAAAAATGATACTCTTAATTAAAATAATGGTAATGTTAAACAAAAAAATGGTACTCTAAATTAAAATAGTGGTAATGTTAACTATAAAAATAGTACTCTTAACCAAAAAAATGATAATGTTAACCAAAAAAGTGATACTAAAGTAAAATAGTGGTAAATGTTGGTTTGACTTTTGTTTTTCTCCTTCTTCTTCTTCTTCTTTTGAGTTTTTTTTTTTTTTTTTAAGATTTTACTATAATCTCAATCTTTGTTTTAATAAATTATGATTATTTTATAATCTCTTGAAGGTTCATAGGATAAATACAATTTGTAACTCCATATTTCTCCTACTTCTGAGTTTTTTACTCTTAACCAAAACAAGTGGTAATCAAAATGGTAATGTTAACAAAAAAAAAATGTACTATTTACCAAGGTAATGTTAACCAAACTGATATTCTTAATCTAAACAGTGGTCTGATTTTTGTTTTTCTCTTTCTTCTTCTTCTCCTTCTTCGTCTTTTGAGTTTTTTTTTCTTTTTTTTTTTATGATTTTACTATAATCTCAATCTTTGTTTTAATAAATTATGATGATTTTATAATCTCTTGAAGATTCATAGGATAAATACAATTCTGCAACTTCATATTTCTCCTTCTTTCCGAGTTTTTTGCAACTTCTTCTTATATGTTTTTTTTTTAATGAAAACGTAAACCTGGTTAACTGATAAAAAGTGTTAAATTTGATCAACGGTGGAAGTTATCCATTATATATCAACCGTCCATTTTATTTGTTCAGTACCATAGCATAAAGAAGCTGGCGGTACCGTAGTCTGACCAACATCCACCCTCCCAAATACTGCGAGACACATCCACAGAGGCAGAACCCGTTGAAGAAAGCCCGTGGAAGTCATTGTCTTCGAACCTTTCCCCATCCATCTTATCATCAATCACTACAAATCCAAATTGCATTGCCTCTTCTTACTGTCTCGCTACACTTCCTTCATCAATGCACCCTGAAGCCCATCCCCATCACCATTCTTACAACAATAGCCTGCCTTACCCTTCTTTGTATCCTCATTCGTCCTTCTCCTGCCCTACTGGTTCATGTCGATCAAGTCAGACCAACGTTACTCATAACCTCTTTTTCGATTCCACACACACTGTTGTTAGATTTCTTTATGTGGTTTCTGATTTTGCTTTAAATCAGGTACTTGAAAGGAATGAGGAAGGGAATGGATGAGGAAGCTTTCTTTACAGAAGCTTCTGGGACTGTGAGAAGCTTCATTAATTCATTTACGCCATTGACCGCGAGTTCATCAAATGACTACTCTTATTTAAAGCATCAAAGCCTTAAATCAAAAGAACAGCAACAAGATCAGCATGGGTTTGTCCTGGGCACTGGGCAGTGACTTCAAATCACAAACGTTCTTCAAAGAAAACAGAGGAGAGGAAACCCAAAAGCCTTTCCACCACTCTTTCGGTGAGTGGCTGCCAAAGAGCAAAGACTCTTGAGACTGAGGAGAACTAAGCAAACAAGACACCTTTTAGGCTTTTACTACTACCCAGCTATCCATTTCCCATCCGTTGCCCCCACAGTAGAGCTCTTTCAATCCAAATCCAGACCCTACAGGCATTGGTTCTCACTTATAGTGTCTGTCATCGACGCTCTTGCTTTGTTTCTTGTGCCATTTCAGGTTGCTTTTACCGTTTAATTCAACTTATTATTTTTAGTGCAGACGATTGACTTCTCATTTTACAAAATTCGAGAATTTGATTTTTCGAATTCGATTAATTCGTGCTCTTAATTCGATTTAATCTCACTATGGAAATTTAGTGAATGACATACATAGGTGACAGATAATATAAGCAATAAGTCCGAATATATAGATGCTGCATCAGTATTAGGTCCTCCCAAAAATTTCTGTTCACTAAATTTCCAACACTCCAAAATCAACACATATCCCTCAATGATACATACTCAGGATTTGTACATGCAACCAAGGGTAGGTCGGGAGGGTCATGACTTTCCCAGGTCTCAAAAATTGAAATTTATTTTCACTGAATTTTTTTATTTATTTTTGATAAGAAACAAAACTTTCATTTCATTGAAAGATATAACTATACAAGATTAGTGGATAACAAGTCCACCACAAGAAAATAAGAAACAAACCAATGAGACAAAAACTATAAGCTACTAAGAGAGAAGTGCCACGAAAATTGTTGATAACTACAGATGCCAAAAACTTCTATCCTACAACAATTTCTTATTCTCCTCTTTTTCTTCCAAACCTGTCACCCAAAAAATAGCCAAAATCGCACATTTTCATAAGATTGATGTTTTTTTTTACCATTTGCAAAATCATCAACTCGTGTCAGTGTTATTTAAGGCATCAAGCGAATTAAAGCAGACTGGTCACCTGAAGCCTAGGCACAAAGCGAGCTTTATTGAAGCGAAACGAATAATTTAAAAACAAACAAATATTTTAGTTTTATTACCGAATAAATGACAAAAAAAAAATAATAACACAGCAATCTAAGAAACAAATTGAACCTTAATAACAAAATTCTAGAATATAATAAAACAGAATAATAAACAAATGACCAGCAAATGAGCATAACACATCAGAACAAATGAGCATAACACATCAGAACAAATGAACATAACACAACAGAACAAATTTATACTATTAATAAAAATACTTTAAAATGAAAAACTTTTAATTCTCTATTTTATCCTTATAAAAAATTATAAAGACCACTCTATCACTTTATAATTAAATATCTGAATTATCTATTATCTTCTTATGTACTTAAATATCTAAATTACCTCAACATCTCTTTTAATTATTTATTCTCTCTATATAAATATCAATTTCAATGAAACTTTTTTAGTGACTATATTATCTTTAAAAAATATGCATCATTATATTTTCAATAAAGTGTTCAAAAAATTTTCAAAAATTTTATCAATATAATATTATTCATCTCATATACAAAAATAATATTATCCGCACAAAGGTTTTTTTTTTTTATTTAAAAAGTTTAACTCTTTTATTTCTAACATAAAAATAATTATATGTATAATTTTTTTAAATTAATTTACACTACATCAATATAATTTTCAGTTTATAATAAACTTTTTAAGTTGTATTCAGTTTTTATGTGAAAATAGTTTATAGTGTATTCTTAAGTAAAACTTAATTTTTTTTTAAATTTTGATATGTTTTAAAATATATATTGTAAAGTATTATATTAAATCTTATCTTAATTGACCAACTAATTCTTAATTACAGTAAAGTTTCAATATAATTAAGTAGTATATTGACAATAACTTTTATTTTATTTAAGAAATTATAAGTAAAATTCTAATTGAATGAATTTCAAAGAATTTAATTTCTCAAACATTACTAAAAAATCACTCTCAATCACAAAATTCTAAAAAAAAAATAGAATTTAATCTTTTTTTCTTATAGTTAGAATAATGAATTTTAGAAATATAGCAAATTTTCATAATCCTATAATAAAATATGAGTAATGAAAAATTAAGTCTAATAAATTTGAGATAATATTTAATTCAAATACACACATACTAATATATTTTATCAATTTCTATGTACGAAAACTATTCACGTGCAACACACGTGGTGCATTACTAGTTATAGAAAAACAAAAAGATAGTTCCAACAAATGAGCAAAAGCAGCAAAACCATGAAAAAAAATAGTATTTCAGCAGAAGCAGAAAACCATCGCATCAAAAAAAATAGAAAGAAGGATTCCAAAAAAAAAAAAATAGAAACCGAGTTCCAAAAAATCAGAAGAAGGATAGAGTAGAAAAGAAAGAGAAGAAGAACCAGAAAATGCGAAGAAGTAGAAGAGGAGAAGAATTAGATAATCAGAAAATTGGAAGGAGGAGGAGGAGAAAAGAACATACCGTCACTGTGAGCTTCCCAGTCTGATGCACTGAGCTTCACAGTCCCTCGTGAGTGTCGCAAGATGGGGAAGAATGAGAAGATCAAAAGATAATCAAAAGAAAAAGAAGAGAAGAAGACGGAAAATTAAAAATTTCAATCTCGCTTCTCTGATGGTTGCTTCACTGGACTGTTCCCTTGCCTCTCTCTAGGCACACTTTTCAAAACATTGAATCACGTCATCAATAGAGGAACACAATAATGCGGAGTGACCCATGCTAAATCCGTATCCCTCAAAAGCTTATGCCACAAAAAAGTGGCAATGGGACAATGAAGAAACAAAAGATCAATACATTAGAGATCTCTTTTGCAACAAATCACAAGTATTCACCTTACTGTGAACAAAAATCCAAACAAGCACCTGCACTTTAACGGATACTCTTGCCTTCCAAATCAATGTATGGAGATCAAATGTAACAATACTTGAATCATCAATCAAGTATTCAAAGTAAGAACAAGAAGAAAAAATTTCGAATAAATCAAGAGAGCAAATTCTTATATCACAAACCAAGGAATTCAATGCGACCGAATCCAAGAAGGAGAGAAGTGAAGAACACTCCAAGATTTTCCAATCATTTAGATTATGAAAGAAATTTAGATTCCACCAACCCAAAGAAAATGAAGAAGAAGGATAAAACAAATCAGCCATTGGGCTATAATGAGAACCTCACAATCTAAATACTCTTGGAAACAATAAAGTAAAAGATGACTCTCAATCCAAATATCTTCCCAAAAGTAAACTTTTTCCCCATTCCTACCCCTCATTTCACATGCTTTCTAGAATTATCCAAATCTTGAGAAATAAATTTTTAAGAATTACGAAAGGAGCCTCTACTGACCATATTGGAGTCCTATCCATTAGAATTGATTCCATACTTACCCTTGATAATAGAATGCCACAAAGAATTAGGCTCCAATAGAAACTTCCAAAGGCATTTCCCTAACAAAAGCACATTCCTCTTAACTAAATCACCTATGGATGAACCCCTTTTCTGTTTAGATCTTGACACCACTTTCCACCTAAAAAGATGAACTCCCCCCCCCCCCCCCCCCCTTTTTTCTCTTCCACTACCTTTCCATAAAAAAACTCTCATCATATTTTCCAAAATCTTCACCACTTTCTCAAGAATTTTAAAAAGAGACATAATACGTAGGAATACTACCCAAGACTGATTGAACTAAGGTAAGCCTCCCTCCCCTAGACAAACAATCCTTTTTTCAACCATCTAATCTTTTTTGTACTTCTTGCACAACTAGATTCCAAAAATGAAGAGATAATGGATTACCTCCCAATGGAAGGCCTAAAATTTTTAAAAGCCAGTCATTCACTTCACAACTAATCCTCTAGCCAACCCCTCAACTTTGCTTCTTGAAGCATTAATACCCGCCACAAAACTCTTAGACATATTCACCTTCAATCCCAATGCCAAACTAAAAATAATAACAATATCCACCAAATTCTGGAATTCAAGTTCATCCGCTGACAAGAAGAAGATTGTATCATCCACAAACTGAAGATGAGAAACCTTGATCCTATCATTACCCACTACAAATCCTTCCACTAATTTGTACTCCAAACCCCTATCCACCAATCTACTCTTTCATTTTGTGGTATAAAAGTTCTATTCTTTTTCATTTTGTTGTAACTACTTTCCAATAGATGTTTACAGCAAACCCCTCTCCCCCCCAAAAAAAAATAATAAATAAATAAATAAATCCTTCAAGTAAATTTAGCAAACTATACTAGAGATGACCACTGAGTGAATAACAAGCATTAAACTTAATAGTTTCACACAACAACAGGTTACAAGAATTTTCTATTATAAATTCTCGTCCCTTTTGATGAACATTCATGGAAATGACTGTTATCTGACGGAGCTTGGCTGATGCCAGATTTGACGATGATAGTGAGGATGAACCCTGCTCGAAAGTTTGAAAGCTCAATAACATTGCTCGAAACCTCCTTTTGCATGCACAGAGAGAGAGAGAGAGAGTGCTGAGGATCGATAATTTTCCAAGAAGGAAAAAGGGGAAATATAAACGAAAATGAATGAGCAAAGAAAACTTTGGGAGAGATAGTTCTGAGTAAAAGGAGTTAGCCATGCGTGTTTTGCTTCCTTTTTTGGCGCTGTACTTTTATACTAGAATGCGTGCCTGATCAACTTCAGAGTTCACAATAACAGACAGTACTGAACCCAGAGGAAGACCTTTGCCTTATATAGATTGCTAGTGCTACATAAACCTTAGTACTTCAAGAAATCCAGACATGAGAACCAGGCTAACCTGTTTTCATTCCACCTAAACCCGGCCTCCAATCTGCTTTTTGCATGCTCATCCATTGTGCTTCAAATGCTCTATTACTTTGTAGCTTTCTGGGAAGATGAGGCAGGCTATATCCATATGTAGTTTCGTATGATACAGAACAATCACACCCAAACAAATATTACTCGATCTCTATATATGTCTCTATTCACTTGAAGACTAGTCATTTCCTAAGTAGCATTATGGGGTGATGAGATCTATTATCAAAAAAGATTTCGATCTGAATGTTATTTTATTTCTATTATCTCTGTAATAAATTCTAAAAATTAGTGTTAAATTTTATTCTTTTTGACTTTCTTCCTTTTGGGTGTGCAAGGTCAATAAATGTAGCACAGCTAAACAAGAGATGAAAAGAGGTGAATTACATAAATTAAGTTTATGGTTTAAGAGGTTACACAATCACTATCCCTAGAAGATGAACTCATATCCATAGCTTACATAATGAAACTTTGGACAATGCATAATGTGGGATGGAAGGACCTAGTGTCAATTTTGTAAACCACCATATGGAATGCTTCCCTACTTTTTTCGTTTTCCCATTCATGCATCTCCCGTAATATGGAACACGTATGTAAAAAGAGACAAAGGTCAACCATCTCCTTAGGCCTAATGCTTCTGCATAATTTCCTACCCATGTGAGTAATCTACAGAACCAGGAACTGTTAAATATGCAAAAACTAGTAGTTATTCGTTTACCTATAAAACTGTGGACATGATAATGAACAAGTTCTATAGCTAAGAACTAAACACAAGCTTATGCTGCACCAATAAGGTAAGCAACTAAACAAGTAATTTTGCTGGCCCAAAAGGAAGTCGTCACAATTGGAAAGAAAGCCTAGCACCAATGGTTCAGTGCCTTTATGGGTGTTGATCAACTACCAGAACCCATCGAGCATTTCACAAGTTGCAGATTCTATTTACTAATTTCTGCATCACCTTTAAAATCCTTCCTTTGTCCCAAATTTCTGGATGTCATAAAAACACATAATTCTCAGTGTAAGTTAATTGAAAACAAAGGGATCAGCACCATTTGCAATTCCAAAGAATGTCCCAATTGGTGCAAATCATTCATTAAGAGATAAGTAATGTTCTTTCCATACAGTTTCCCACTGAAACAGAAATCATCCACACCAACAGCATATATATACATATATATATCTCAAGTTCATAGATTGATTCATACAACAAAAGAAACAGACCAGAAACTTCTAATCTAAATAAAAGATCTTTCCATAAATTCCTAAAACTGGGAATACAATATAAAAACACACAAAGCAAGGGTAAGATCACTCTGAACAGAATGAGAAAAAAGGCCTGTGCTGATTTCATATATATCACTGTAAACAAAACAGAATAAGAAAAATGAACAAAGTAATGAATGAACACATTGTAAAAGAATGCAAACAAAGAATTACCCATTTACAAGAGATGTAGACATTAACACATTGATCAATCCCTGATCTGTGAAATCATACACCGCCGATGCCCAATTAACCCACATCTCGTATTGTCCAGCGGCTCACTATAAATCTTGATTCAGTGGAACACACCAAGTATAATATGCCCCGGAAAAGTAAAGAAAAGTTAATGAAGAGTGAGTGGCCACTAGTATATTCTCAAATGCAGGGTTAGTTTAATATCTGCCCTCTATTTTTCAACAACTGCCGCCTCTTGATTACCAAAAACGCCACCACACCAACTTGTAAGATTGCCACGATTCCCACAAACATCAATCCAATTTTCTTCCCCAAATTGAGCTTGTCCTTTTGCTTCGATGGTGAGCTCTTATTGCCACGTGGGTTACGCTTCTGGTTGTTGTTGTGCCCACGACGCTCTGACGCTGAAGACGATCCTGTTGTCCTGTTTGTTGAAGGGTGACTTGTAGTAGGACGGTGAGCGCTTTTTCTCAGTGGGGGCGGAGGACGTAGAGGTGGAGGAGGTGTCGCTGGAGATGGCGGAGGTGGTGGCGGTGGCGGCGGAGGAGGAGGAGGCGGTGATGATGGAAATGACGGAGATGGAGGTGGTGGCGGTGACAACGACGAAGGTGGAGAATCTGGTGTTGTTGGTGATGCTTGGGATTGAATAATCACATTTCCTTGGGAGTCCACGACCAGAGCAAAGAAACTGAAGAAAATCGCCCAACACACAATGACCAAGGTTAACAATAGCGACTCCATTTGACGACCTTAAGCCAAATCAGGGCTAAAAATCAGGTTGTCAGACGCCGTGACGTATCTGGATATGGTCCCAGTTTGTTGTTTCCTTCTCCAAATTCAAGAAAGTGGGGGTCCAAAGAAACGGAGTTGAGAAATTAGGGAGGTATTTAAATCTTAATCCTCGTGATTTTGTGTTCTTGAGGAAATCAACGAGTGGGTCCAACCGGTTTGGTCCCAAGTTGTTGATTGATGCAAGAACACAGCAGGTTTACCAAGAACAAGAGTTAGGGCATTACATTTGGTTTGGTTCTTCCCAATCTGTATCTTTCTGAGTTATTCCTTCTGCGAAGAATCATGGAATTGGTTCAATCATGCAGGTTTTGAAAGATTTCGGACTACGTCGTGGACTTGGGGTTATAGGTCTTCGCGATCCCCCACTTCTGAGAAATGGGGAGAGAGAGAGAGAGAGAGAGAAGGTTAGAGTACGGCGGGATTGGACTAAACGGTTGGACAAATTTAGGCAATTGATTGTTGATCTGTTGGTGGCATTGTGCAAAGAGGTTATTGAAATAATAGCCAGCTGTATTTTACATTTTTGGAGTGATGAAATATGGAAAAATTGTAGAGGCTGCCACGCACCCGCATGCATTATAAGACCAATTCCCGTGTTGGATCCTGTGGGCCACCGAATATTACTTAGTGGCCCACCAGCCCACAGGTGTCTAATTCATAAAACTAACAACAGATCCAGTTCTACCTTATCGGACACCAAGTGATGCGTTTATCAAAATACTTATTAAATTAATATGAATAATCGAATCAAAAAATTTTATTAAATTGTCCACGTTGATGTAATGTAATAAACATTTTAGTCAATTTTGATAAGCATAGTAGTAATTATCAGACCGTGTCTAGTTGAAGTACATTTGAATGTTTGCAATCTGGGCGGGTAACGTATACTGATTAAAAAAAAAAGATTACATTGGGTCTCACACTAATTTGTTTATATTTATTTATAGTTGTTTCTCAAGGTCATATACTATTTCTATAAGGTGTGTAGTTCATCTTTGCTCTAATCTTCATGTGTTAATGAATACAATGTCTACTAATGTTGAATAATGTCTTCATGTTTGATGAATACAATGTCTACTATTTTTGTTGTCTCAATTCACCTATAGACAGGGTTGTTCGTAGGGATGACAGTGGATCGAAAAAAACGGGTATTCGTCCAACCCCGTCTCATTTGAACCGAAAATGGACTATATATATTGAACGATAAACGTATACGGAGATACCCGTATAACTTCGTACGGAAATGAAGATAGGGATGAACTTACCCTTATCCCCATCCCCATTACCCGTTATATATATATATATATCTTAGTAAAGCTTTAATCTACTCTCTCTGTAAGTCTCCATGTGTCATGTAATCTATACATCACAAAACTGCTTAAACCCCTTACGTTTTTAAAATACAATTATTGTAGTTATACATGTGATTTTTTCAATATTTTTTGGTTTAACTTTATTGAGTGTCTTAGAAGACAATATTGTTTGATTGACTTTCTTTCTTTTGCTTAGAACTGTTTTCCATGGAATTTTCTCTCAATTGCTATTAATTCTACCCTATGACCCTTTAGGAACATTGTGCAGCAAGTCTAAGGTAATTGATAGTATTTTTTTTATCTCTTAATTCATCGTTTAATCCTAACTTATATTTGCTTGAACTTGGGCTTAGGGTTAGGCTTGGACTTGGGCTTGAGCGGATACGAGGGAAAGCGGGGACGGGGACAGGGATGGGGGCGAAGATTAGAAATTTACCTGCAGACGAAGATTGAGATGAAAATTATACTCATTAACGGGAGGTGGATCGGAGATGAACAAAGATTTTTTAAACGGGTACGGGAATAGAGACTATATCTTTCACCTCCGCTTCGGTCCACTAACATCCTTAGTTGTACAACATGTATTAGGTGAACTTTTGGCATCAAGGGTCGTGGAGCATAGAAAACTAAAGAAAGACTTTAAGAACAAAGGAACTGTAGCATACTGTCCAAAAAATTCGCTTTCAAATCTTCTTACTTCTCCCACATCAGAATCTTCAATGTGCAACATAACCATGTTCCACTGTTGATAAGGAATTGTTTATCACCAATCTTTTAAACATGCAGCCTCGTTCAAGAACAAAACTATATTGAAAAATAAATATCACCACCTACTTTCTTAGCCACATTCTTTTGTTTACCACGGCTTAGACACAATGACAAACCGCGTTATAGTCCTCAATATGCAAATCGAGAATAAGAGTGTCACAGGACTAGCAAGCATGATCTTTCACAAGAACCATGAACTTGATAAAACATACTCGACTTCTAATATACTAAAATTGGGGTTGGTTTTGCTTCAAACAGATTATATTCTAGACCACTCATACTCAAACACTCATGTGGTCAAACTCTGTTGTAGTTTCTACCATTGAAACAAATATACCACGTAAATAAACAATAAACATATACTGCATAGGAAAACACACACAAAGTCCGATCAACCTAATACCTGATGCCCTTCAATATACTCATCGACATTTCTATCTATTTATTTAATGTCTACATAAATTACTTCGTCTGCCATACAATACAAGGAAATGATTAATGTGTCCAAAATAGTGCAATAACTTGCAAATCTGTGTCAAGTTCACCACCTTTTCCTATCACGTTGAAGCTACCAGTGGCATCTATTAAATAATGATTACACTGATCCAACAATGGGGGAAAGGTTACAAAACAAAATAGTATATGGAGTTCGCAAGTTGTCATACAATATTACAATGTGGAAAGAATTTTGGACAAAAAATAATACAAATGCACTCATCATATAAGCAGTTTTACAGATGTATAGCCCAGACCCGACAATGCTGACAATCAGCCCCATGCCATGGAACAAGCGTCATTAACCACCAGCTTACCATCAAACCTGAAATTCTGCAATGATAAACAATAATAAATGGAGGGGTACAAATAAAACCAGCTATGGAACGCAACTAAAACACAAAGAGTTAATGGTTCTGCTGCTATCCCGAAATCAGGAGAAATCAACTCAGCCACCAGAAAATAAACCAGATTGATGCTTTTATTAAATTTTTTGGGTGTGAATCCATCATTTCATTTTAAATTTCTGCAGAATCTACACATGTAGTTGGGGCTACATTATGCAGAATCTGCAAACGAAACTGAGAGAATCATCAAAGAAGTGTCATGACAACTTAAATTAACTCAACAAAGTCTTGTCCCAACAATTTGTTGTCGCCTAAGAAGTCCCATGAGAAATTTCACCTATATAAACATCTCCCTGTTCACATGCAAAAGTGAACAGAATGGCTACTTTATTCAACTCGTTAATTGTTTTGGCCCTTTTGGGGTAAATAATAAGTTTTTAGTCCTACTTTCAATTATAAAATCGTAGAGAAAAATTTTCATTGCCCACCATTCCTAAACCACCCTCCCAAACTTGAATTCGAGAAAATACGATGCTTGACAGTAAGTATAGTATGTAACACAACACACTCCTGTGCAAATAACATATTTAACATTTGAGTACTCGGAATTCACACATGATCCTTATGGACATGAGCACACGGATGGAACAGCTTAAGTTTTGCTACAAAGACGGTCAGACCAAGCAAATATTTGAGAACAGTAGCAACTTCATTGCAGTTTTTAATGCAAATATTGAAAATTTGAAATATATAATACTCTCCTTGATCGTCCGTCTCCCCAATCATAAGATGCATTATGCTAGAGGTCGTCCCCAATTACTTATTTTTAAGATTTTTCTCATATCTAATCATGGTGCCCTATCAATAGGGGCATATTAAAAGAGATGCATCCTTATCTCATACATAACATACCATGTTAACAGAGAAACATTTTTTTGGGTCCTTCCGCATGCCTTTCAACATGGAACATCCGATATACTTCATTGATTCTTTTATGCCCAGCACATAGAGTCACAGAAATGAGTACACAACATAACCATAAAGGTGTTTGGTTGGATAATCAGCTGAATAATTTCATAATGCTATAAGTAAGTAAATTCTGAAAGGATAAAAAGGGAGAGATTGAATAGAAACAATAAACAAAAAAGTAGTGCCAAAATAAATTATTTTTACATATTTTGGTTGGTGGAGAAAGAGAACGAGAGAGATAACTTACATTATACAGGTCAATCACCAATTCATCAGGATTTGGTAAGAAGGCACTGTTGACATACACAAACTAGAAAAATAAGAAAAAGGATATTAGTGAAGCCCCATGTCCCATCATAAATATATGTTTTCAAAAATAGATAATTAGATAATCATCTACCAACATATCCCTATGAAGTTGGCGACGAAAAAATCAATCACTTTAATAAATTTGTCAGTGCCAGCAATCTGCCAAATTAATTATCTTCAACTAATTAGTATTAATGAGATTCGGCGTTGAAATAAGGTTTTTGAAAGAAGAACTAAATAGTCATGGTTATGAAAAAAATCAGCTGCACTAATATAACTAACACCATTAAAACTACAATCCTTCAGCCTACTACATTATCATTCATTTCCATTTGCAGAGTAAAGTTTTCCCACTCTAGTTTAGTCATGATTATGACAAAAATCAGCTACACTAATATAACTAACACCATTAAAACAACAATCATTCAACCTGCTACAGTATCATTTATTTCCAACTGCATACTGAAGTGTTCCCACACCAGTGCAGTTGGATTTTATAGGGTTAAATATAACATAGGTTTTCTCCATCAATCATGATGAATCTTGAAGCTGATAGTAACAGAAGGAAATGCATTGCTTGCAGCAATGGTATACATTGTTTCACACTATCCACACCTAACAGTCACATAGGTTTCAAGGGTGATTCTTCAGCATACATGTTAAACCTTAGAGATGGAATGCTTTGGTTAGTATACATTACGAGCTCTAATACCACCAACACTTGGCCATGTATACATAACAAAGATACTTTGACTCTCAAATTCTCATGTCCCATCCACTAATTAGACTTATACTGTGTTTGGTATGTGGGATTATGCTTTGGGAATGGAATATGCATTCCTTGGTAATGCCCATTCCCATGCAAATTATGGGCTGATTTTGAAGCAAATTATGGTAAGTGATTGCGAAATTTTCCAAAATATCCTCTCTCAATTTTTCTTAAATTCAAGCTAAATGAGGGATTAAAATACCTCCTTAAGATACAATTTGACATCTAGCAAAATCAAGCAATAATTTAGCATCCAGCAGAACTGCAAGATTTATTCTAATGGCAAATGCATGTCTTGTTGAAGGAAAAAGCATTATAGGACTCTGATTGAAAAGTTGTTTTTAGGTTACTGTTTTATGGGTTTAACTATGCTACCAAAACCACTTACTATTTCTATAACACCATTTGAGTAGAACTTCAAATTTTTGGAATGCACTCAATTTTTGGGTTTTTTTAAGTCCACTTGTCACTTTTTTAGGTGAAACTTACTATTTTTTAAGGTTATTTTTACTTTTTAATATCACTGAAAAATTAAAAAAGGGTACCACAATATTTTATTACTATTTTCTTTTTTTTATTATTATTTCTTCTAAGAAATGCTGAAGATAATAAAAGTCCACCCGAGTTTGAATAACAGAACGGGCACTTTTTTATTTTTTAAATGACAATAAAATCGGGCCAAATTACATATAAGGGAGCAAGCATTTGTGCATATATATGACTTAGCTACAAACGGGAATAATAAAAGATGTCTTTAATTACAACACATTTTATTAAACTAACTCAAATGTCTTGAGTTCGAATATTGCCAATCCTTTGAGATCAAGTTACAAGAGATTTATCCCTCACGAATACCTTAATCCCGATATGGATGACATACTTTTGACCCAACCGAAAAAGAAATTAGTCAAGGTACGCATAATCTGACCTGAACACTACTGACCGTTGAAGTAAAAAAAAAAAAAACATTTTGTTGGGCTAACTGAACTTTGCCATTGTAATATTTTCACTTTATCTTTCAAAGATTAAACATCTCATATTGTGCCCTCAAATTTTTAAATGGTAACACTATACCCATTTTTGCTCCCAAATTTGGTGCATAATTTGGGGAGAAAAAAGTAAAATGGGACATGTTGCCACCATTTAGAAATATTCAAAGTGAAATGTGAAAATTTTAATCTATGAACAGATAAATTGAAAATTTTAGGGGGGCAAAGTGTCATCCCCCAATTTTATTACTACATGTACATGATATACCCGAGTGGGGTGAGAAGCCATTATCACTTGAGGAACTTGTCAAACCAATCACTTGCTTCTTTCACCATCAATGGCGTCATTTGGTGTCCAATTCCAGGTTGTGCAATCAGCTGGAAGTTAAGAGAAGAAAGCATACTTTAGAAGCAATATAATCCAAAAGAATACTTCACCTCATTTCAACTCAACAAAGTTTTCTAACTATATATAGTCAACTACGTGAATCATATTCTTCCATTGTACTCTATCAAGAAACATATTCTCGCAAAATTAAAATATGAACTTATCCAAACTTTTCAGAAAAAAAACTGTAGTTTTCATGAGATTATTGGTAACAATGTTGCATGGGACATTACAATGACACCCCTTCGGTTTAAGAGAGAAATAGGATGAACTTAGTAGTTTGAAGTAAGAGAATTAAATGGGGTGGGAAAATAGAATTAAGGGGTCAGAATAGCCCCACCCAACTGAATAATGCAACGAAACCCATGACAGAGTCAATCACAACCATATTTCTTTACTCATAACACAACCAAACTCCAAATTACTTAAAAAGTCAAGAGGAAGTGAGCTAACTTCCCAATCAACGCTTGAGGGTTACTCCGAAAGAGGGCATGGAGACTGTTGAGTGGGTGTGCACAAAGGGAGTGGAGGTTGGGGGAAGAGGAGGGAAGGGAGAACAAAGAGATCCGGTGGATGAAAGCTCATCAGATTATGCTGGGGGTGGGGGCCTTCACCACCGTTGCTTGCATTCATCCTTGAGCATGGAGGAGAGCAATATTCTTAAAATCGGAAACTTAAATATTGTGATGGAAAATTGGAACACTATTGGTACCGGCTTAGTTAGTTCCATCAGCCGATAATCTTTGATTGGGTGTCGGTGCAAATTTAGAAAAGGGAGGGTATCATCTGAATTTTCACCAAGCCTGAATGGGTATATTAGGCTTGTCATTGTGATTTTCCTAATGCTTCCGGAGCTTCAAAATACTCATAACTGAAATTTTCTGATCTTGTCATCCTATTGAACATGAGACGGATCTATACCTGGAAATTATCCAAACAATGGGCCTCCTCATATGCCTTACACGCTCTTGATTTGGGAACCTCCAGACCTGCAAGGGGACAACGAGGATCCTTCTCACCTGTATGTACGAAACAATTTTTCAATTCAAATGAGTCATCCACGGAAAGATCTTAGTGCATATTTAGATGATTGGCATGCAATAAATCGTCATACCATTTAAAATCAAAAGAGGACGGGGTGCAATAATCGGTACTGTGTGTGGTGAATCAAACTGGGAGTCTAAACCAGGAGCTATTCTGTCCCAGACCTGATAGGAAAAGCAAATATCAGATGTTAATCCAGCTTTCAAGGTGCATCACTGGAGGAGAAGCTCAGAAAGCAAACTGCATATTCAAAGATGAAAAGTCTAATGCTTATAGAAAGGGAAAGACAGGCCTAAAAGAATGGTTTGACTAGAACATCCACAATTAAGTATTAAAGACCACTTTATGAAAAATCTACCATTAAGGATGGTAGAAAATTAGACATGTAAAGACTAAAATCATTTTCTCCTCCTGACATGATTATACAGATAACTAACAAAGCCACCGACCTTCTCCACTACTTCTTTGTCGATTTTACTTTTGCCTAAATCAATTCGTGCTTCTGAAAACAAAGAGCCAAGAACATTAAAGAAACAATAAATACATTTAAGCCAATGAAAAGCTTTAGGAAGCACAACACTTAGGGGCCAATATATATCTTCCACATGAGACTGCTAATTTTAAAAATTGATTATGCATACACTTATGGAAAGCTTAACAATTTTCCTACAGATTACCTTCAATTCTTTTCCTGTTTATGCTGAAAAAAAGATAAGTTCCTGTTTATAGAGGGCATGTAACTAGAGGTGTAATTACATACCCTATATAAACTTTGGTATTCCAATTCTTCAAATCAAAGAATTTTCCCTTTCATGAGCTTTTTAAATGATATTATTAGGCAAATTGCCAATGCTAGGACTAACAACGTAATAAGAGTTATATACAAGTCTTGTTGAATCCAACCCTATTTAAGTACTTATGTCCAATTGCTATTTATGTTTTCTTTGTGTCTCACCTTCAAACACAGCCTTGATACTGTCAACTCGACCCTGCCATTGATCATGCTCTATGGCCCATCGAAACCCCTACAAGCATATTACAAAAACATTTATCCCATCCTTAGATTTTCTATTACAAGATGCAAAGCATATGTACTTTTGTTTGAGGTGTGATTCCCATGACTTTTGATGACACCAACCTGAACACCAATTATGGGGACAGCCACTGCATAGCGGGTGTCAACTGCAGCAGCAAACCAAGCATGCATTCCTGCATTGAAGAATAACCCAGTGAGTTGTGCATGTTGAAGAAGCAATGGAAGTTAAAAGTGTTAACCTTCTAAATTTCATGCATCCAACCTCCAAGTGATTCGCCGGTGATTCCTATCTTACAAGAATCTATATCGTCCCTCTGTGTAAGATAATCTGCCAATTTTATCAAGTCCCACACCTGAAAAATCCAAATATATACGAGTAATTTACCAGTGAAAATTGAGGAAATCAAATTCAGATGGTTCATTATCAAAATCAAAAATAGCAGGTAAGGATTCGGCATAAGTAATATATTTTTTTTAAAGAAATGAAAAGACTGTAGTGTTACCGTATCAAATATGAATGGCATCGTATCACCTTTCTCCCATGATAATACAAGAGCCTACATTAGAATAAAAGAAAGCAGATCTGGGAATCAATTTAGGAACATAAAGCAGTAATCATTGTGGAAAACTGCATTAATGAAGAATCTTTCTTATTTTGACGTATTACTTGCTCTGACTTATCATTTGATTGTGCCAAAGCATATACAACCACCATTTGTCTAAACATGGTGGCAGCCCGTATGCTGGAACATCAAAATGCTAGCCTAAACACTAAAACAACTCCTAGGCAAAACTGTGACTGTTTTTGTGTAAGGTCTACTGCGTACTCAAACTTTTCCACTCAATGTGTATTGTATGAGAAGCTAACCAAGGGTGTAATAAAGCAATAAATAAGGATTGGGTATACACATCTCGGTAGGTGGTCATTCCCCTGGAACGTTCCCCATGGTACCGAGAATCAATGGCAACAGCTACGTATCCCCGAGAAGCATATGCCTAAAACAAGTATAATGCATTAATCAACTGCTTTTCCTTACGACATCAAGTTAATGAAGACTAAAGTTTTGAGAAAACTGCAAAAATTGTTACCTCAAGCAATGGTCGCAACCACTCTTTGCACTTATGTGTACTATGCAGAAAAACAACAGCTGGCCTTCTTAGTTGATTGCTCTCTTTCATGCTCAAAATTAGCACAGGCAAGCGTCCTTGCTCTCCTGCCTACTTACCATGAGACAGGAAGTTCTTTCATGCTCAATATCAGCAGAAATGGCAGGTGTAAAGAGGGGGTCTAATGAAGCGAACTAAATTAAAAAACTATATTAATACAGCAAATTTAGAATAGCTGCGGAAGATGACTAGACGACCAACCACAATAGGTTATGACAACATCCCTGTTATTTTGCTAGTTCAAGAAGTAGGCCCCAAGTTGTAAATTCCAGTCAATCAGTTATGATGTAATAAAAATACGGTACTTGGCATCTCCCATACTAAAATATCCAGTTATAGGAACTAATATATTGTAATGGCTAACTAAGTCAACATAACCAGGATTTGGTCCGCTTACCTCTGTGGTCAGGTATAAGTTTTCCTGTACAAGTAACTTCTTAAAATTGGGAATGTCTGCCTTTGGGCAAGACTCCATTGCCTTGCGAAATAAAAGAGAAAGTAAATCAGAATGGTAGAATCAACAACCCAGTAGTAAAAAAAAAGGTCCTGAAGGAGGTATTAACCTCACTGAAGTGTGGCCGAGGAGTTTCCTGATACAAAGGATGTGCCACAGTTTTTCCAGGTACCACAGAAAGCGGAACTGAAAAGAGTATTCAAAAAAAAATTTACAAAAGAAAAGTGTATATCAAAGGAGCTTTATAGTGGAGCTGCAAAAAATAAAAAATTAAAAAAAATAACAGAAAACAACATATTATATGTCAAAGGAGTCTAAAAAAATTACTATAAAGAAAAGAGTTGGGATTAGGAAAGCACTATTTACAAGATGGTCAGAAAAGTAAAATGTGTTTTTCACCACAAAACTTGCCTCCGTTCAAAATCATAATGTCCATAACTACTGGAAGTTATTAATGAATATTGACACTATGGCCAAAATGTTTACAACCATAAAAGAATTCATCTCTCTGTGAGTACATTAGTGGGAGTGTGGGCAGGTTGAAGGGGGTTTGTGTGTGTGTGTGTGTGTGTTTTAGTCTCCCAACCTCTCCTACTTTTGAATCTATCTCTTCCATGGCTTCCACACTCGAGGGGAAGCTTGGATAAAAGAGAACAAACTAACCATAACCTTGCTTTGAATTTTGAACTTGGGCTTTCATAGTTTCAAACTACACAACAACCACCCCCAAAATATATGCAAAAGCTTCCCTTTTTATAATTTTAGTTGCTCTATGCACTCTTTCCCTCGCTTTTGCAAAGCAACAACGCATCAATCGAAAGCTCAAAGCACTCAATCAATGAAAGCAGATTTTAAAATGGTCACTTAACCCCTATCTGAGATTACATTGAAATGCCTTGACCAATCACCAAACTAAACAGTCCTACAAGATCAAAGCACCATTCAGTCACTCCACAGATTCAATAGTAGCATATAATTTAACCATCTTGATTGGGGAAAAACATAAAAAAGAAAGCCTTTAGTCCCCATTAATCGATAAGGCTTAGAAACCTAACTTAATTTAGTATTTCTTGCTCTTCAATCTCCATTTTTCTTCGTTTGATAATTAATATGCAAAATGTGATTGATTACACTTCAATATTGAACAGAAATTAAAAGGTCAACGGATTAACTTGACACCAACGTCCACTTTCAGCTCTCTCTCTCTCTCCCACACACACACGCACACACAGATTACAAAATTAAATAGTACTCCGATGCTTTATAAACTAATGTAAAACAGTCGTATATAATTCAGTAATAAGCCGTGGCTAAAAGGTTCAGTTCCCAGAAACAGTTTGTATACATCTCGCCCTCGCAAACCCACGACAAAACCTCATCCACTGAGCAGCCCTTTTTAGTTGTCCATAATCCAGTCGTAAGAGAAAGAGAACCAAATTGAACTAAGAGCAACTCCAAGGGGGGTGGCATATGAGGGTGGCAACCCCATGCCACCCCAAATCCAAAAATTGATGAATAAAAATATGAAAATAGCAGCCCATTTTAGCACATGCCATGGGAGTAGATTAATAATTCAGGGGTGCTAAAATCCTGTTCAAGGCTGTAAAAGAGTGATTTAGCACCCAAAATGGCAACTCCTTTGGAGTTGCTCTAAGAGATCTATACCCACACACACGCGCACACAAACACATGTATACACGGGCACATACACACATTGTAAGGGGTAAAAATCGCTACGGGATTTCAGCCCTCCACTCGAAGGATTCCGGATGACCTGGCGACACCGAGCTCCAGTAACTTTTACCTCTCTTCGCCAATAGGACCATTTCCTAAGGCAATCTCACATCGGAAGAGAGTCGTCTCCTCTCCTTGCATACAAGTCCTTGCACTCGAAGGAGGAGGTACCCACTAGCGACCTGATCAGGTGCCCAGTGGTACCTCCTCTTTTGAGTGCAAAGGGGGGAGACGACTCGCTTCCGACGTGGGATTGCCTTAGGAAAGGATCTTATTGACGAAGAGAGGTAAATGCTACTAGGGCTCGGTGTCGCCAAGTAAGCCGAAATCCTTCGAGTGGAAGGCTGAAATCCCGTAGCGATTTCTACACCTTATACACATATAGATTACCAAAAATAGAAAGACAAGAACTACAACATTAATGTTTTTTTTTGATCTCGAACTACAACATAATTTGAACTCCAAAACACCTTCACAATTCAAATAGAACTACGATTGTGTGTGTATGTGGTTTCGAAATCGAAATTCACCTTCGCCGGATCGTCGACTGCGAAGAACTCGAACGAACTCAGAACGAAACTTCGCTGGTTCATCGCTGGTAGTCTCCATGTTCTGATCTGTCAAGTAACTGATTCGGTTGTTGGTGATGCTTCCTGCTGCGTATTTATAGACAGGTGAGAGCGACTCTGCTTTAGCCGAGTGAGTTGACACACGCGCGCACGTGTGACGCGAAATTGCTAGCACGTGAATCATGAATGTTGAATTGTTTTTAATAAAATAGAGCTTCAAGCATTGGATTATCTAGCATCCCAATTAGGCTAGCACCCAGGAAATTCCGAATCATATGTTATAGGCTTGAATATTATTAATGAGAGAAAAAAAAATACACGGAAGAAAGTGTAAAAATAAAGAAAAGTCTGGTCCCGATAACTTATAAAATGCCACAATCTAACTCACAACGGACTCAAAATCACTATATTGTTTAAAACTATACAAAGGGAGGTTATACATGTCATTAGAGTTGAGCAACAAGCACCGTAGGTGCAGCCAACCACCATTGAAAACTTGAATCGGATAAACCAATGTTTCTGCATTTATCGTCTACAACATTTCCTTTTCGAAAGATATGACTAAAACGGAAGTTCATATACTGCAAATAATACTTGTAATTTAGCCAATGAAATTTAAGGGACCAGGGTGGGTCATAAAATGGATTAGTCAAACATTGAATGACAGAGCGAGTATTAGACTCCAACCAGAGGTATCTCCAACCTTTCTGCCAAGCATGTTTAATATCAATAATAACTGCGACCAATTCAGTATAGAAAGCAGTTTGCACTCCCAAAAAATCATTAAAAAATTCCTTAACAAAATAACTACTAGTTCTATAAATATCATCAGCAACAGTCGACCCAGGATTTCCTTTGACTAAACCATCCGTGTTCAATTTAATCCAACCAATAGGAGGGGGATACCACTTTAAAGTAATAATTGAAAGGGCTTTTCTATATAGACCTTGAACACCAATAGATCTAAGAATCAATAGATCAGAAATAGAATTATCCATTATTTCAACACTACGTTTACCAATAGTAGAAAGCATAGAAAGAATATGAAGGCAAGATCGTTTTAGAAATGGCTTCTAGCCTTCAAAACGACCTGAATTACAAACATACCAAATAACCTCAAACACCAAAAGCACTGCAACTATCCGTAGATTGAAGCAACTTCAGTCTTGGGTTTGCAATTTTATATGGACAGGAAATATCAATACGTACTAAAAAGTTAGTCTGTGTTTCTTGCGCTCGTTTATGTTCTTCTCTTGCAGAGGGTGGTCTTGGACTTCATTGTTTTAAGACTCTTAATCGTGTTGCTCTTATGAAAACCTATTGGTGTATTTTAACTGATAATAGTTCCTGGAGTGAACTCATGCATGCTAGATTTCTTTTATCTTTATCTAAAATTGCATCTACTTGCACGATTTCTTCTATCTAGCCGGGCTTAATGTCGTTTCTAACATTTTTGAATCATGAATGTTGATGCTATAACTGATAAGAGTAAAATGGTGGGGTACGTTATCTGCGATCTTCATTTTCTCCGGCTAACGACAAGAGTTCTAATGTTTTTAGAGTAAGGGGTAGATGTAAGAATTTTTTTATATTTATTTACAATCTTTTTAAATAATATTTTTTTTATCTTTTGTTTATAACGAATTTTTATTGTCAAATTATCATTATTGATTATTTGTACATATAATTATATTATAGATTTATTATATTTTTTGTCAAAGGGATTGATTAAATTAAATACTATTGTTTGTATTATAATAATATGATATTATTACATACTAAACAAAATCAAATGTGACCGATTCTATAGCAAATTGGGTGTACAATAATTAATTCTTGTACCTCATCAAACATTAAAACTTGGTGTTGATCAAATAATTCTAATAAAATCACATCATTAGATTAATTTTTTAAGTCTAAATAATGATACTCATTTTTTTTTCTCTACCAAAAGAGGGGCCTTTTTTTTATTTTTTATCATTGCTATTTGAATTTAATTTAAAGACTTAATACATGAACGGAGATGGTAAACACGGTCTAGTTATACATACAAAATAACATTGTTTTGTATGACAAACATACAAGTTTAAAAAAAAAAAAAAAACATATCTGTTGAACAACAAAAAATAATTTTAATTTTTTTTTTTTTGGTTTGGTCATAATAATTCTAATGTTTAATGTGATTCATTGTCTAATACAATGACAACTACTATAAATGTTTTTATAATTTTATAACTTTAATCGATGTTTTTATATTTGTTATGGGTCATTTAATAATGAAAAATTTATAATTTTTTCTAGAAGATTTACAACTTTTGTAGATAATTTTTTTAAAAAAATTTTGTGGGTATTTTTAGGATCGGATGTAAAGTACCACAAAAAGTAGTAAAAATAATCACCCAAAAAATTATAAAAATACCTATAAAAATTATAAAAAATACTCATAAAAATTATAAATGACAGTGCAATACCGAATTTTTTTTTTTTTGGAGTAATGTAGACTACTCCTAGATTCTTACAGTGTGTTTGATATGTGGTAATACTTTTCAGTAGAAATGAAATAAGTTTGGAAATAGAATGAATTTGAGAGTAGAATGGAATACGCATTACCATTCCAATGTTTTGACAACTGTTTAGAATTAAGTGTTGGAATGAAATGTTCATTCCATTCTTATGTTTGGATAAAACAATTTTTTCATTGGAATTGAGTCAACTTTAACCAAAATATTCATAGTGACTAAAAATAATTAATAACAATTTTTTTTTTTTTTTATGATTGCGATTGCCTTTGAAAGATATGTGTAAAAAAATTAGAAAATAAATTCGTTCAAATATAGGTTTCACAAAAAAAATCAAAATCAAAATCAAAATAAAAAAATATTCAAAATTTGTCATTCCTTGCAAATGAACAACTATAGTTCTTTCTGAATTCAATAGAACACATGTGCAAACCCAAAAATAAACTATCAAGACAACTAAGAATCTTATACGAACATGTAGGTTGATCCAAAAAATAATCAACAGTATACAGAAAACAAAAACAAGTTAAATAAAAACAACAATTCTTAAATTCCATTCATTTCATCTCAATAACATTTGAGGTATAATTCAAAGAAACAAAATCATTTTCAAATATAAAGTACAAAAAATTACACTCCTTGTCTACCTACTCTCCACTCATCAAACATTTTGTTTGTCAAATTAAATCTAAATGTTGATCACTCGTTGAATGTTTTAACCGTGGTAATACGATCATCTTGTGCATCATTTTTCACCACAAGACCTACTGCATGTACCTTCGCCTCGATTGGGTCTATCGGCATCTGATCCCTGATATAATTGTGAAACAAACAATGAGCTATTATTATACAGTTCTGTATTTTGATGGGTAGAAAGACGGGCTTCTTAAAATAGTCCAACATGTCTTCAGCAGCTCAAAACATCTTTTGATTACATTTATAGTAGAAAGAATGCTTCATATATATTAAAGAACTCTTCAGGTGTTCTAGGTTGGTGACCGTCTCTCCATTCTTTTAAGTGATACATTTGACCTCTAAATGGGGCAAGAAATCCCTTGCCATTGATATATCCCCTAATCATGGTATCTCTAAGTACTCTACCATCTACCGCTGACCCTTCCAATTAGGTTATACATAAATGAAGCCCATATCTTGTGAGCATACTCTTAAGATATTAGTAGTAATATCTCTTGTCCATGACTAGGTTCTTACTGTTAGATAATAGGAAAATTTTTTATCACACCCTTCTAGTTTATCATATCTTTAAGTACATCCTCTTTAGTTTTTTAATTTTCACTAACACCCCCATTTTAGATTAAAGGCCTTAACTAGAATACAATTTTACTAAATTGTCTATGATATATTTTAGAAAAAATTTCATCCACACGCCTTTTAGATAGAAATATTTTCAATGAGACCCCCCTTTATTTTTTAAAATTATTTACGTATTAAAATTCAAGCCAACTAAAATTTGATTCAAGCCGAATAAAATCTATTTTTAATCAGCTCGAATCAAATTTTAATCTACCAGAATTTCGATATGTAAAAAATATAAATTTTAATATGTAGAAAATAAATTTTAATTAATTTGAATCGAATTTTAATTGACACGGATTTTAATAAATAAAAAAATATAGATTTTAATCGATTCGAAACGAATTTTAATCAATACTAACAGCTCAAATCGAGTCAAATTTTAATATGTAAAAAAATTTAATACACTAGAATTTTAATCTAATCAAATTTTAATATGTAAAACAAATTTAATCAGCTCGAATTTTAATATGTAAAAAAAATAATTTTTAATTGATTCAAATTTTATGTAAAAAAGTATATTTGTGGTTTATATAGGGATAATTTAAATATTTTAGGTAAATTTTATTTATTAGAAATAATTGTTTAATAGCAGGAGTGTTAGTTATGTTTATATTTAAACTAGAAGGGGGTGTTAGTGATAATTTAAATAATAGAATGAATACCCTTAAAGATATAATAAATTAAAAGTAATGTAACAAAAAATTTTCTTAGATAATAATAATACCACGTGCCATTGATTGAGGTTGGAAACACGAGGTACTAATCTTTCCTGGAACCACGAATCCCAGATACCTGACTGGTTGAATGAGCTCCCATTTCTTATGTGAATATAAAAACATATTAATCCACGTGGAATTATTAGGAAAACAAAATTATCCATTTAGTTTCCTTTGCCAATGTCTGATAAGGGTGGAAAACGAGAGAAGAAAAACAAGAAGTGGGAAAAAAAAGGAGAGAAATAAAACTTCACTAATTCAGGTTTCGCATATAGAGAAAGTGTGAAATGGAGAAAAGAAAACACAAAAGAGAGTTTCTTCGAAAAAAAAAAGTAATTTTTTTTTCTTTTTTCGTTTTGTTTAATTGCAACAAAATAGGAGAAGAAAACAGAAGGAAAAGAAATGGAAAAATAGAACAAAGAGAGAAGATGAAAGGAATTTAAACATTTTCTTTCCCCCTTTTTTAGTTCATTTCCTTCTTCCCAAAC